ACTCTCCTGCTCTTCCCCAGTGACTTTTCCTCCCCCACTTTCTGCTGAATGTTGTGTAAATGTCTTCCTTTATTTCCATTATCCAGTCAACTCTGCCACTGCATCTAATTTTACTCCATACATATGCTTTGATCTCTCCTTTGCTAACTGGTGCTGCCAACTCTACCCGATTTACTTTCAACCCATTTTTAGCTAAAGTGACCTGCCATCTCGTTCCCTTGGATGCCAATGTGTGCTGGGACCCATAAAAACTGAACATCAATTCCCAGACTACTTACTCTGTATAAAGATAACAATATTTCAAACATAATATCCTCCCTACATTTTGATGTTGTACTTTTGAGACTAGCCAGAGCTGTGCTTGAATCTAAACAAATCATTATTCACATGGTCTTGACTTCTGCAGGGAAACTGCAGCGTCACCACAGTGTTTTGCTTTCAGGTCTTATAAATAAAGTTAATAAAATTTCAATCATATTGATCTTTATGGTTATACTAACAAACTTCAGAATCACAATCAGAAATACTTTCTTTTCTTTTTCTGTGTTTTAACTGTGTTACAGTTGCACACATTGCACAAGGGCAAAGGAATATAATAAAGATAGTGGTATATAGAGAAGTATATAAATATCAGAGCAAAAATATAAAATAAAATAAGGAGTGTGGATATGTACAACATTTACATAGTCAAAGGAATTGTTATGGTGATAACAATGATGTTATGGTTCCCATAAGGAATAAATAGCAGCAGCAGAGTATTGCACAAAACAGAAAATTTTGTCCAGTTTAAAACTAAGTGTCCATGTGTCAGACACAGGGGAGGGAGGAGTTTGATGGCCACAGGCAGGAATGACTTCCTGTGGAGCTCTGTGGTGCATTTTGGGGGAATGAGTCTTACACTGAAAGTGCTCCTGTGTTTGAGCAGCACGTCATGGAGTGGGTGGGAGACATTGTCCAAGATGACATGTAGCTTGGACAGCATCCTCCTCTCTGACACCACCAACAGAGAGTCCAGCTGGACCCCCACAACGTCACTGGCCTTGCGGATCAGTTTGTTGAGTCTGTTAGCGTCCACTACCCTCAGCCTGCTGCCCCAGCATGCAACAGCAAATTCATAATGCACAGACTCATAAAACATCCTCAGCATTGTCCTGCAGATGTTGAAGGACCTCTGCCTCCTCAGAAATTAGAGACAGCTTTGGCTCTTCCTATAGAGGGCTTGAGTGTTCTTGTCCCAGTCCAGTTTATTGTCCATGTGCACTCCCAGGTATTTGTAATCCTCCACAATGACACTGACCCCTTGGATGGAAACAGGACTCACTGTTGTCTTGGCTCTCCCTAGATCCACAACCAGCTCCTTAGTCTTTGTCACATTTGTCACGGATGGTGTTGAAAACCCTGGAGAAGTCAAAAAAACATGACCCTCACAGTGCTCGCCGGCTTGTCCAGGTGGGCGTAAATGCGGTTGAGCAGGAAGATGATGGCGTCCTCAACTCCAGGTCGGGGCTGGTAGGTGAACTGGAGTGGGTCCAGGAGAGGTCTCACCATGGACAGCAGCTGATCCAGAACCAGTCTCTCCAGGGTCTTCATGATGTAGGAGGTCAGTGCCACAGGTCTGTAGTTCTTGGAGTCACTGGGACGTGGCGTCTTTGGCACAGGAACGAGGCAAGATGTCTTCCACAGCACAGGGACCCTTTGGAGACTCAGGCTCAGGTTGGACTCCATATAGCTGGGGGGCACAGGCTTTGAGCACCCTGGGGGGGACACCATCAGGGCCTGCAGCCTTATTAGAGTGGAGTCTCCTCAGCTGTCTTCTCACCTGGTCAGCAGTTAGGGACACAGAGGTTACAGGTGGGGAAGGGGGAGAGGAGGAGTCGTCAGGCTGGAGAGAGCTGTTAACCTGAGAGCCGGAGGAGGGGGAGTAGGGATCTCCCAGGAGAAGGGCGAGGGACAGTGAGGAGGAGGAGGGAGGAGTAGTGGGGTTAGAGGTGAGACAGCAGCTGAGTTAGTGGGGGGATGGGCGGGGGCCATAGCATCAAATCTGTTAAAGAACAGATTAAGTTGGTTGGCCCTGTCAAAGCTGCCTTCACCTCCTCTGCTGCCAGTCGGTCTGAAGCCAGTGATGTTCCTCATGCCGCTCCAGACCTCCCTCATGTTGTTCTGCTGGAGTTTACGCTCCAGCTTCCTCCTGTACTTCTCCTTAGCCTCCCTGATCCTTACCTTCAGGTCCCCCTGAATGGCCTTCACCTCTGCCGGTGCTGCTGTGAATTTGCTACGCGGTTCCGACGCCGCATGAAGGTGTTATATGTCACTTCCTGTGTCCCATATGTGGAGCTACATAGCACTTGCCGCTATGAATATAAATCGGTATTGGCGTGTAGATGTCTTCGGGGTGGGACAGTTATCAAGCACGTAAAGTTTGTTTCAGATGTGAGCATGTACACTGAACAATAATGTACCCAAACAATAAAATAAATTCCTTTTATATTTCCCTGCCTTGTTGTTTATGTGTACATACAGAGGAAGAATGTGAGAACAGCACACATTTCATCGTTACTGTGTGTTAGAGCATGGGAGAACAGTGGATACTTTTAATACAGCCCACACCCCTAATACTGTGTAACTATAACAAGTAGAGAACAGAAGAAAAAGTTGTTCTTTCTTTACAACTGTCTGCATAGCTTATTCATATTGTGTAATGAATGAAAATAAATAGGCCTACTAGGCTCCTCTCTACTTTGACATTTAAGATTAGCTTGTTTGATCCACCTTCATACACATGAGACATTACTGTACAACTTGAGAAAGGTTAGTTGTTTTCTGCTCCAGCCTGCCTAAAAGAAAAGCGTTTTTGGGATTAAATGGACTTTATTAGCTGCTGCAGTGCAGGATGAACTCAGAACAGACCCATTTCTCACCTTATTATTCTAAATCATGCAACGAAGAAGAAGAAATGCATAATAAATCCTGTCCACAAATACTGTACAGCATGTAGTCTGATGAACAAGACTTGTGTTATAGCTGACTTGGGCAGTGAAATGTTTATTTTTTTTAATTCATGTGGTCATAGTTGTCCACAACTCAAATCAGAATATAAGAAGAAATGTTTTATACCACCTCAAGAAGGCTTCCTATCAGAAAGGTAGGAAGGTATTTCAAATGTACAACTGCAGTACTTAAATCTAAGTAAAGTAATTTCCCTGACATTTTTGTGTTACTTTACTTTTAATAGACGCATGTAACAGGTTTTATACTTCCTGTGAGTATAATCCAATCAATCTTATTTTCATACTGTATATCCGATGTGTAATTTGATAAATTGTGTTGTATGTCGTGCTCGCATCTCAGAGAAGACTCTGACTGCAACATGCGTCTTTGTAAAGAGAGAAACGGACAGAAAAAGTCTCTAACTCTGCCTAAAAGCTCGCTCTGCTCCGTTAAAACTGAATTTACCATACAGAATTGAATACGAGTGCACTCCAGATTTAGCTGCAGCTAGATGACCGTGTGCTTCTCCCTATACCGCAGTTCTGTGTCCATGCATGCAGCAAACTGAAAGCACTGTCTGTCGGAGCGTCTACGTGAAAAGAGAAGGAAGACATTGCTTGTAGTATTGTCTTCAGAGTTATTAAACACCTCAGCGCACTGAAGGAAGCCATCTGACTGTGTGAGGGGCAAGATCGTTGATGTCTGCAGGCAGAGTAGGCCTAGAGCTCTCCTGTCTGACTGGTCCACCAATAGCAGAGAAGATGACCCCTTGAGTTATCAAGCACGTAAAGTTTGGTTCAGATGTGAATGTGTACACTCAAGTTACAACAACTTCCTGCGTCATGGCGAAGACTTGATCTTTGACGCCCCGCCACGGACACACCCATTGACGAAAACTCGCAAATAGCACAACTTTTCATCGTCAATGCCTTTAGAAGGCACAGCAGAAATTTGACGTCGATCCGACTAAATCCCTAGGAGGAGTTCGTTAAAGTACGAAGTGTGTAAATCATCCAAAAATGGCCGTAAAATTAAAAATGGCCGACTTCCTGTTGACTTTAGGCTATGGGTTCTTGAGGCTTTTTTGTGCGTCTTGACATGATACACGTACCACAGAAAATTCGTGCACGTAGGTGAAACGTGAACGAGGGGCTAATTTTTTCCAATTTTCTAGGTGGCGCTAGCGAGTCATTTTGCAACGCCCATGCGCGAAACTTGTAGAATACGAAATTCAAGCAAATTCAATAGGGACCTCGCACGGTCGTGCTCGGGCCCTAATAAATAAATGTAGGTAGTAATTAAATTATACAAGTAGACATAAATGTATATATTTTAATTAGTGCCTTTACTTATTCACCTTTGTTATAATTACCTTATTTGTTCATTCAACTTTATTATTATTAATTTTTTAAATGTATTTATTTATGTGTGTTTTAATATTTTTGTCTGTTTTATTCTTCCTTTGTATTTATTTACCTTATTTATTTTCACCCATGGTATTTATTTCTGCCTGTCTTTTTTAAATTTTTGTATGCATTTCTGCCTCATTATGCAAATGAGGAGGGGCTGTGTCTCAAGGGGTCATCTTCTCTGCTATTGGTGGACCAGTCAGACAGGAGAGCTCCTACTCTGCCTGCAGACATCAACGATCTTGCCCCTCACACAGTCAGATGGCTTCCTTCAGTGCGCTGAGGTGTTTAACAACTCTGAAGACAATACTACCAGCAATGTCTTCCTTCTCTTTTCACGTAGACGCTCCGACAGACAGTGCTTTCAGTTTGCTGCATGCATGGACACAGAACTGCGGTATAGGGAGAAGCACACGGTCAGCTGGCTGCAGCTAAATCTGGAGTGCACTCGTATTCAATTCTGTATGGTAAATTCAGTTGCTTCCAGAAGCAGGTGTGTACGGCGGTACCGCGTCATCGGAAACCCGCCCACCGCGCAGCCGCGACAGCTGAAAAGGAAGTGCGCAGCGCCGTTCCACGGCAGAGGGGGCTCTCCACGGGGCGGGGAAGACCTAGTGCTGTAGTATGTTAGCACATACAACCACCACCACCACCTCTAATTCTCTTTCTCTAATTACCAACAAACATGTCAACGGCTATTATTTCTTCTTTCTTCGAATACAGAGATGTCTCTAACAAGGTAAATGGCGCCGATCCGGGAGAAGCAGCCGACCCAGTTTATCTTTTCAAAAAAAAGCATGCTAACGTTAGCCTAGCCTATCCACTTTTCTTACTATAAGTTCTGATCGAAAGTTTTTGACGGTAGTAACTTGCACCCCCCACGTTATTGTTGAGTAGTTATAGTACGTGTCTGATGGACTCGTCGACATGAAACTCGACTGTAAACCACTTAGTCATTTAAAATAAGGGGCACAGTTAACGTCAGCGGTTTAGCGTGAGACTCCATAGCCAGTGTTTACCCTGTAAGTTAATGATGTTAGTTGACATGCATGCGGACGCCCTGCAGCTCCACTAGCAGCAGCAGCTGGGTCAGTGTTTGAATGTTGCCCCTGAACAGTGTGGAGTTTTTTAGCGCCAGCTGCATGTCTGGACTTTGTGTCACGGAAACTAGTTCAACATTGTTGTTATCCCAGGTAGGAAACTTTACCATACTAGCCGTCCCTTTTAATGTTAATTAGCTACACGTCCTCGTGAGTCTGATAAACTAAAGAGCTGTTGAAGCTCTAACTCAGTGGTTCTCAACCTTTATTGGGCCAGCGCCCCCCTATCCATTTTATAGGTCCCTTACCCGCCTCCCATCAAAAAAGATGTTTGTGATTTGACCTGAATATTTATATTTTTTTTTGTTGTGCAAAACATGGAAAATGTAACACAAAAGCCATGGGGAAAGTAACTATATTTAACTAAAGTGAATTTTCCTCCCAGAAACTGTGTGTGAAGCCAGATACTGTTTTCTTGGATGGGGAACTTAACAAGTGGTATGGGATCCTCCCCCAGAAGATTTTGAGCATTAAACACTTTCCTGCATTCTGGTGAATATTTCTCCTCCAATTTCTGCCTTTTCTGTACAAATTTATGGGGGAAATGTCAGGTGACAATTCAAAATATATAATTATAATAGAATATAATGTAGTGAGGCTTTCTCCTGTAGATCAACTTATTTAATATCATCCCTGCTGAGTCAACACACATGATTAAGTCTTACCACCTATTTTGTGGGGAAGTAACCTGTTTAAATGTTTGTGGCCCCTTTTCGTCTCAGTAATAATTAATCTGTTTTAATTCAGTTATTGAAGCTCATCTGTTAATAACTTGTATCATAACTCAGTGATTCCCACAGAATGACTGTGTAACTGGCGCAGATACAGCATGCTAGCCTCGAAAACCCAGCTGTATTCTAACATTAACTTAGCTCTCCTTATTAGCTATGCTCCTTACATGCTTGCTAATAACTTTTAATAGCTGGGTCTCTGACATTGACAGAGTTGTGTTGGACAGATTTGTGCATCTGTGCTAAGGAGGGAGAGAGCGAGAGATCGAGGAACGGATGAGAGAGACCAGAGAGAGGATGTGCTGCACGAAAACACACTGCCTGCAGCTCAAATACGATTTTAAATAGGCTTAGTGAAAAAATCGAAAATCAATATGTGGCGGTCAGCATTGATATTGTGACAGGCCACCACAAATAAATGAAGGTACGGGAAACACCGTAACTTATCTGCTCATGTTCAAAACTTTCTGCACATTCAGAATCTCTCCAACATATCGGAGTTCTCTGACATGTAAAGGAAGTAATGGGAGACTAACGTCATTAGCCTATATAAAGAGAATTCATATTTTACGACATACCCTATACTGCATTATGTTACTGATTTTGCTGGAATTCTTAACAGACAAAACTGAATGAGACGACGAGGTGCTCATGCCGGGGGAAATGAAACTAACCGACAACACCTAGCTGTGATCAGACAGAAAGCTCACGAATAATTCCACACACGTTGACTTCAGCACCTCTGATAAAGTGCCGATTACGATCCCAACAGAGCAAGACGGGGCTTCAGTTTTTAACGTTACATTTTTATAGCTTACTGAAACTATAGTATATGTCTGCTTTGGCGCAAAATGTCTGCGACTCATGGTGCTTTCAGTCTCGCAGCGCGAGGTGGGTCCACATCACTCGCTGGTGTCGCAGCAAAGTTGCTTTCAGGGTGAGCCCGACAGCGGAATATCCCTCTTGTAAATGTGTAACCACTGCGACAACAAGATGTTCGCGGTGTGTTCCTGAAAGAAAGAAACACTTTACCACCAAGAAAGAGAAAGCAGCTCAGCGCCCCCCCTTCCAAAATATTGCCTCCAGCAAATTGTCTTGCACAGTGACCTACTGTAAAATGTCCAATCTGTGTATATGTTTGATTAACTATTAGACAATGCAAAACTCAACCATTTAATGTAAGTTTTATGTTACCTTAACGTTACCTGCAGTAGTTGACGTCTGGTTGCATCAGATTTCATTATTGGCAGCCGTGGTTGCAAGATGTGGGCTTAATGGATTATAAAGTGATCTATAATTACAGACCATAAAAGCTTTCCAAACTTACTCTTTTCAATGTAATTTGTTTTCCTTAATGGGTTATCCATGTTAACCTCTCAGCCTAACTTTCACTTACCAGCCAAGATTCCATAGGCTAAGTCCTGCCTGGCATTGATTCCTTGCTACCTTTCATTCTAATGTAAATGCTCCGTATTTGTATAGTGCCTTTCTAGTCTTTTCGACTGTATGTAACGTTATTGCCGTTATTGTGTCAGTCTAAGATGCAAAGAACATTGTCGTCCGTTGTAAACTTTGTGTGAACCGGAAAAAAACGCGAACAATTCTACATTTATACTTTATACTATACACATCAGCTAATGTGAAAATCGGAAAGAAACTCTGGCCAGAGTTATAGGCTATCTAATGTTTACTTTGACGTTGTTGTTTGATCAATCATATAGCGCAGTGGTTCCCAACCTTTTTTCCTTGGCGCCCCCGCTACTTTTATCTAAGAAAAGCTCAGCCCCCCCCCCCCCAACAGCTGACAATTACTAACCAATAGGAACAAATAGAGTCAAATGACACCTCCATGGCTCTGTGTAACTCAATGCCAGCTCTTGGTTGGCCTTCACAAACAGTCTCCTGGTTTTTTTGTTTCTTGGTATTGTTTAATACCAAGAAAAGGGGTTTATAAGGTGTAATATTTACAAAATAGCCTACCTATAGGCCTACAGCTTGCACTAAGTGTTTTCAACATATTTTACTTGGGTGGGCTGGACAGGTATAGTTGCACCTGCCAAAGTATATTTGGCAACCCACATTTTGTAGAGAAACGGTGAGGGAGAGGTCATCTGGTATTATGTCAACGGACATGCAGGAAATGTTACATTACGGAGCGATAGTGAACGCATCACTGCAGATGTCACTCACCTAACGTTAAGTTTCAATCCACATGCGGGGCACATTAAAACTGAATCACGGGTGAGTTTATTAAACACATCAACTTTATGAAACTTACTGCTGATGGAGAAAATCAGCATACACATAACAGGTAGAGAGAGACAGAAAGAGGCAGAACAAGCTGGCGTGTTGCCGTGAGAGACCAGAGATGCAGGCTAGGTGTGTGTGAGTGTGGGGAGAAGAGCAGAGGCGTAGATTCAAGTAAATAACTAATATAAGGTGAAAAATTACCTACAATAACCTACTGTTAATACAAATAGCCTACAATATGCACCGCTACCAAGACCAACCTATACCAGCCGCCAGGAGGACAGCAGTCCAGTGAGCGGGTGTGTTGCAGTTCTGTCTGTTGGATCCGCGCCATCAGATCGTGGACTTTTGTGTTGCGATTTTGGTCTCTGTTTCAAAACCATTACAGCCCTACTACTACTAAGTAGTCTGCCTACTATTTTCAGTGCGGAAAACTTTTGTATAAATTATCTAGTTATCTATCATGATTGTTTAAAAATGTGCAAACCAAAGTTTTTTTGACAGCCTCAAAACAGATAAAGCTTTGGGCACCCCCTGTCAACTCTGGCGCCCGTGAGGTAACCATGGCAATGGCTTCTGTGTAACTGGCACGATCCAGTGAGACTGTTGCCGTCCTTCTCGTCTCACGCACAGGCCCGTCTGCTGCCAGAGTCGAAATGTCAAACTTTTTCCTACAGTTTATCAATAGACAGAGACTGATCAGCTGTTTGATCAGAGTTTCCTGGAGAATATAACTGTTTCTTTAACAGTTAGGCTGCCAGGTCTTAAACAGGCGACAACCTCTGCTGCTGTCTCTTACTCAGTAAAAATAAAAACTTCTACTGAACTAATTTGAAAGTTAGTAGTTATATTATTTAGTTAGTTACATGTTGCACATTTTGCTGTTGACGTTTGGTAAAAAATTAATACAAAAGATTGTGAAGGTTGTGAAGGCGCAGTGGATTAGACACTTGTCTTTGATTGCAACACATCCACAAAATAAGTTATTGTCATGGGTCCTGCTTAACCATCATGTTATAAATAGAGCCGCCGCCAGTTTCAGGGTGGTTCCGTCTTTTTTACCTTTTGCCAATCACATGCCTGAATAACCCAAACTCCAACTTTCAACTTTGTTGAAAATAACAAGATTAAACTTAATTTTCATGTTTAATCTTTAGCTAATGCTTTTATCCAAAGCGACTTAGAATTGCTAATTATGTCAGAGGTCGCATGCCTCTGGAGCAACTAGGTGTCTTGCTCAGGGACACGTTGGTAGATGTGTCACAGTGGGGGATTGAACCTGGGTCTCTCACACCAAAGGCAGGTATCTAATCCACTGCCCCATTACTACCCCGTGATTAAATGAGTTAGAGATCTATCCCAGAGATATGAGTGATAAATTATCGTAAACTTTGTCTTTACCTTCTGCCATTTATATTGTATTTAGTGCTGGGCAACAATTGAAATTTTTACTTGCATGATTTTCTATGATTAATTGCATAGTTATGTGCAAAAGTTGATAATGAATTCTAAAGTAGTATATTGAGCACTGATCGTTTTACTAGTGCTGCTGGTTTTGCTGCATTTATTTACAGCAGTGGTTCCCAAACTTTTTAGGGGATTGATGGATGGATGGACCTGTCCATGTATTGAGCCATGTGCCTACTCATCTGAGCCGCTACGATGCCTGACAGGAGCTTCCATGTTGTGCAGAGGCAGGTTATTGGCCAGTAGTTGGATGGGATTGTTCCCTTCTGGGGGAGAAGGGGATCCTTCATGATCCTCCATGGGGGGTAGTGCTCTTGTGGGTGGTCATTTTATAGTCACTTAACCCCCCTGCTTTGTTATGATCTGCAATCGTAAGTCGCCCTTATGTTGAGTCATTCTGAATTTCTAATATTCTCCAAATGTGTTTTAATAGCCATTTATCAAACAACTGTTGAGCAAGCAAAACATGAACTTAAATACAATGTCTTGTCCAGCAGTCACCTCTCATCCACAGCCTCTGTATTTTACACATGAAGCTGACGCTGGATTAATAAACCAGCTGCTGCGTTGGTTTAACTCATAGACAGTATGGTTTAACTGCGCCTGAACGCTCCGTTACGAAGCTCGCGCTACTAACTTACTGTTATTTCTCACAATATTAAAGCCGTTTATGCTTGAATGTGCTGTTATTCACCGGTACTGTCACTTTAACACTTTACTCTTTGGCGTACGGGCACCGGTCCTCTCTTCTGCCCTCTCTAAATCAGGTTTTCTGGGTACTACGTGCTGCTCACCTGTTCCCGTTCTTGCCTGCCTGCTAACCTCCGCAGGGAGATTGAGAGCCTTTCATGCAGCCGTGTGTATAGTGGCTCGTTAAATCCCAGCCTGGAGGAGGCGGAACATTTAAAAAAAGGTTGAGGCACTACAGCAAACTTTAGAATGTTTAGCTCATCATTCTTCGTGCACAGTTTTTATATTTGACAAGTTAATTTGCATAAACAAATGAGAGACTGACCACCATGTAAAGCATTTTCTTGCACAATAATTTAGTGACTGAAAACAACCCACAGAAACTGCTGTTTTGCCCAACTCGAATTAATATTATAGGCTGATGGTAAGCTATAGTAGCCTGTACTATTATCTGAAATTATAATGAATACACAAACATTAGCACTAATGTTTTAACCACAGTGGTGTAGGCTAATATCAGAAAATGGTTTTATTTGTGACACAGCTAAATCTCTACTAATAAACTATCTGTAGGCAGATTATCCAAGTGTAACATGTAAATATAGTAACATTATACTTTCTATTTAATATATTGTGTATATATAATTTCTTTTATCATAATATACTAAATGAACCTCATGCTGTATTGAAGAAGACTTGAAACTAGCGACTGAGACTCCAAACTCATTTAAAAGTGTTTACTGAGGTAATAAATCAGCTGAGAAGTAGCAAAATTTTACCATTATTTCTAATGGAACTCGCCCCCTGCCTGCCTTTAGAGAGAATGCAGCTTTAATATCTGTCTGCATGATTTCACTTTCAACCCAGAGGGTGCTGCATGATTGAGATTAGAGAAATAACATTTGACAACCTCTCATCACATAACTACAACTCTGGATTGGACATCGGTGCGCGCCAGGAGCTGCAAAACAACAGCAGGATGGGTTTTTATGTTTTTTTGTTTTTTTGGGAACTAATGAGCTTGGCTCCCCTACATGTATACGTATGCCTACAAAACCATCCCATCTCCTTAGTTTCCCCCAGAAGCAAGGGTGTACGGGTAATTTTAATATTGGTGGATAATATTATGGAATGGCTCCACAGAAACCCATTTTATTTCTAAAACTTTATGTGGAGATGATCTTCTCTCTACTCAAAGTCTGACCTGAGACTTGACTTAAGTGATTTTCCTGCTAGTCATGTAGGGGTCTGCAGTTGGTGGTGAGCATTTAGCTTAATGAACAATGTGATAGGAATTATCACTCCCAAGCTATGTCTCTTTGTTTGTCAGACCACTATTTATTCCTGCGAATAACATGTTGCCTGGCTTCAGTCTCGTCCATCGCCCTGGTGCATAACAATAAATAGTAAGAGAAAATGAAACTAAAACCATATAAAGCAGGTACTGCAAGTCAAGATGTATAATAGAAACAGAACAGGTATAAAGGAAAATATAAAAGAATATTATAAAATATATACAACATATATACAATAACTGTTTAAACTGTACAGTCCAAAATATTGACCAAGGGATGTGCAGAAGTTCAGTTTGAAGTGTAGGGAATATGTGCATATGTTATCCCACACTTACACAAGACAAACGTCCATGAAAGTTGCATCCACCTAATGCGTATCAGCTATAATTCAGTGCATGGGTAAACTGACTGGGGTTATTTTGTTCTCCCAGTCTTGGATGCTAAACTGCAGTGCCTCTCTCTAGCAGAGTTTAAAGACAAACTGCTGGAGAACGTCAGCAGTGCACATCCAAAGCAGGGAGTCATCACCTGGACCAACCTGCTGAGACAGGTTTTGTTCTGCTGGCTGGTTGAACTCAATGCTGCCTCCCATGACTATGATACTGTACATTTTGGTGTATTCTAGCCAAACAAAACATACTATGTATCATGGCAAACCTCTGACAAGGATGTGTGTTTATAAAACATGTCAGAGTACAAAACAAAAATCCTCACACTGACTATTTTAAGCCTGGGAGTCAAGCATATTATTATCTTTCTGAGCCAAATGACTCCAATCTCATCCAATGTTCCACAGGTGTCCTGTGTAAGTGTGGGAGGAGAGCAGTTATGGGAACACGCCATAACAATGATCTCCCAACGTTACGTTTTACTGGCCCCGGGCCATCGGGTAACCATAATTCCATCCATCCATCTTCATCCGCTTATCTGGGATCGGGTTGCGGGGGGAGCAGCTCCAGCAGGGAACCCCAAACTTCTCTTCCAAGCCACATTAACCAGCTCTTACTGGGGGATCCCGAGGCATTCCCAGGCCAGTGTGGAGATATAATCTCTCCACATAGTCCTGGGTCTTCCCTGAGGCCTCCTCCCAGCCCATTATTGTCGAGCCCTTATGGATGGATGGATAGTTAGGTAGTTAGATAGGATTGTTCAGCCTGAGAGATTGAGAGGAGAGGGAAAGAGGCGTGTGAGTAGCCATTTCCTGTGACCTAACTATTTATAATACATTTTTTAATTTTAAATTAAATTTACAAAGGAAAGTTTTAAGTACAGGTTTTTTAATTTCATGAAAAATTCCACCAAAACATAATAATTGTAGTTGTTACACTACTACACCACCATTACATTTTTCCTGTCACGCACCCCCAGGGGTGTGGGCACCACATTTTGGGAATCGCTGACCTACAGTAATGGCCGTAGTTATGGTCAACTTGATCTGATCCTCGCTCATTTCGCTCCACCTGTGTGTTTGCGGAGCTCTGCTGAGAGAGGAGGAGAGGGGCTGCAGAGTGATGGCTCACTCGTCCTATTGGCTTCTTCCGCACAATAATCAGTGTTGATTGCTATTACTCGTGACTTGTAACCAGTCAGCTAGCACTGTGGGCAGGACATTTCTCCAGCCCACAGAGTGGTGAGGACAGAGCCAAACGAGTATTTTCTATTCATATTTATTCATTTATATCCGTTTTTAAAATGACGATGCAGATTATTGGAAAAATGCTAAATACCGAACGCAATAATCGCAAGGCCAATTATTGGTCGACCCCTAATTTCTGCTTACCAAATCTGGTTCTTGTGAAATTATGGTTCTGATTTAAGGAACCAAAGTGTTATCAGCTGATTATATTAAGTAATTTGTTATAAATGACTTGGTGTCAAAGATACTTGTCATGCCCCATTGAAGACCACGGTTTTAATTTTGATTTTAGTGTGTGTGTGGTAAAAATGACATGTCATATTTGTTTTTATTAATTTGGAACAATTTCCAGCCCAACACTAGGTTTCACTTCCAAATTATGCTTGGGATGACTTCGACTCCGACATATTGCTAATTGCCCATGAGTCATTTGGGGTGTAAAATGGTTGCACTGCCCAGAAAGTCTTGATGAACACAGCGCACACCAGCTATTCACATCACCAGGATGAGATGGTGTGCTTGGTGAACAGAGTTTTCTAATACACATTTTTCTGATTACAGAGCAATAAAATGTTGAACTACAGCAACAACAGCAGTCTTAGTGGACCTCAGATGACGTCTGTGCCATGCTTCAGTGCCAGCTACTCTTCCTGTGTCCCCGCTGGGTCATTGCTTGACAGGAAGGTGGTGGGGGCCCCCTCTGCTGGAGGCCTGTTCCAACGGCGTCATTCAGTCAGCCTCCCCAGTGCAAAGTTTAGCCAGAACCAGTTTGATAACAGCCTTAAAACGGACCCGTTAATAGCACTGGGCAGCAACAAGGAGAACCATTTCCGTGAACGCTCCTTCTCAGAGCTGGGGGACCGTCTGCGGCCCGGCAGTCAGGCATGTGTGGGTGGAAGCGGCCAGGACAACTCAAGCCGCTATAAGACAGAACTGTGCCGGCCTTTTGAGGAGAACGGCACCTGTAACTACGGCGATAAGTGCCAGTTTGCCCACGGCATGCACGAGCTGCGCAACATGAGCCGCCACCCGAAGTACAAGACTGAGCTGTGCCGCACCTTCCACACCATTGGCTTCTGCCCTTATGGCCCCCGCTGCCACTTTATCCACAATGCGGAAGAGCGCCGTGGGCCCCCTCCCCTCGCTGCCTTCAACAAGAGGGAGCGCACCCGGCTGCAGCACAGCTTCAGCTTCGCTGGCTTCCCCAGCCCCGGCGGCCTGCAAGACTGCCCTACCTCCGTCACACCTCCACCCATGTTCTCCACCAAAGGCCTGATGAAGTGGCAAAGCAACCCCTTTACCTACTCCAGCCAGGAACTTGCCTGCCTCTTCGGTGCCAGCTTGGGGCCCCCACCTGAGCCTCAGAGTCCAGCCCAACCTTCCCCTATGTCCCCCTGTTTTTTCCAGCCCACTTTAGAGAGTCCCCCAAATCTCCCAGACTCCCTGTCTGATCAGGAGGGCTACCAGAGCAGCCTGGGCAGCCACAGCGACTCAGAGTCCCCCCTCCTGGATGCCTCCCGCCGCCTCCCCATCTTCAGCAGGCTCTCAGTCTCTGATGATTAAGGTGTCTGCGTCCCTGGGCTGAGATGGGAGGAGGGGGGGGGTTCCACGAGAGGAAGAGGGAGACTTCACCTCCACCGCCTTCTCCTATCAATCCTGTTCACAGGATTGTTGTAGCCAGTGAGTCACCTCAGAACACCAGACGCCTTGTCTTTTAGGGACCCCCACCCACACAAAATCCAGATCAAGTCTTTTCAGTATGATGAACAGTTGGTAAACCAGAATATTATTCATATGCAGGCCCCACAGTGGTGGCCTGCATGTGAAAGAATGTGAAATGTAGCTCTGATCACATGATAGAGTAGTTGAATATGACTGATTCTGTCAGATTTAGAAAAGTGCCTTGAGATGACTCTTGTGAAGCCAACAGTAAGCCAAGACTTTTTCCAGCTTCCTGTTTCTTACAGGCTGCTTTCCATCAGTCATGCTGCAGTGCTGCAGATGTGTGTCTTGTTTTGATGGAGGCCAGTTATCATTCTATTTGCTGCTGAGAGACTTTATTTTTGGGGTTTGAATGCACACAGGAATTAAAATGACCTCTGAAGTTGAGTTACAGGGTCACTTCACCCAGACTACTTTCTTTCACATACCTATTGTGGTGTTTATGTTTTAGCCATGCAGATAATTTGGGTCTCTGAGATTTCTGCCTCTATCCAATACAGCGGCGTTAGGTCTGCCTATAGCATTAGAGTTAGGTGTAATAAAGTTTGGTCCAGGTCAGGCTTCTGAATAGTCCATAGAGCCTCAGGAGTGTTCACACTGAGCTCTATGGGGTGATGAGGAGCTGGGACTGTGCCAGCAGTCTGCAGCTTCCTGGTGCTTGTTGGTCATCTTAAAGTCTCCTGTTGATTCTACCATGTTCAATGTTAAGATTATGATGTTAATAATTATTATTGTCTAGTTAATTTCCCAAAGCCTTCAGAGTAAGGGCTTTGGCTGTCACTGATTATTTATCAATGTATTTATTGCTGATCTTAAGCTTTTTTATTTTGTTTTTCTGGTTAATTAAACAATAGAATATATATTTTCTTCTTGTTAAATTATGATCCACCATATTAGATTGTGCGGAGCTGTTTAATAATTTTTTTTCCACAGTTTTAATATATTATACTGGAGTGAAATTTTTTTTGTAACCCTTGGTCTATTTTGAAAGTGAGTCTTAATTCAAATAACTTAAAACAAAATGTTTAGTATTTTATACATGGCATGCTCCTCCCACATGTTGGACTGTGAGTCCTGAAGGCACAAAATCATTGCCCCACTACAGCTGCCATAAACAACAAGTTCAGATGCTGAAAAAAGCTAATACAGTTCATGAACAGAGGCTGTGTCCGAAAAGTCAAACAAATCACTTTTCCTAACCACTTCTCCTTGACCTCGATGGAAAACATTGAGAGGTCAAGGAAAGATGTGGAGAATCCATAAGGACTTAGGAGAAGAGGATGGCGGTTCTAAGAGAATGTGACTGCTCTTTTCTAGGCGAAGTAATTATGTGACAGCGAATGTTACTGATGTGACCTGCCGTGATGAAACTACAATGTTCTGAATATGGACTACAAAAAGTGCATCTTTGACACTGCGCCCCCGTTTTGTTTTAATGCAGGCCATCTAAAGGTGGAAACCACAGTGGAAAATATTACTTCATAACCAAGATAGCAAAAAGGCAGATGAGGTACCAGTTACTAAATAATGGACAGCGTTGTCACATTGAGAATGCTTGCTCACACTCACCCTCCTGCCCAACCATAGGCCTGTTTATCAACAAGAATCCAGAGAGCGAAAGCATTGAGGCTCCTTTCCTTAGCTTTTAGAGTATTTGAACAGCTCTCATCATGGCTGCCACTGAAACACTTCTGGGTCACTTTACTCAGGAACCTTCCTAAGCGAAAAAGACTTTTTGGACGCAGCCAGAGTGAGTACAATCGGTGTCCTCATCAGTGTCTTTCACTGGGAGGAGTCCTCATGAGCATCAAGGTCACTGCATCAGTTTTACTCAAGTTTTACTTACAAATGCATTATAAAAACGATAGAAATGATGCCTCATATCTGTTCCAGAGTCACACACAGATGTACTAGCACTTTGAGTTATGATGATGATGAGAAGACCCCCCCCCCCCCCACCCCCAATAAGTGCCTATAAATACATTCCATGTTTCTCAAATGTTGTGCCTTCATATTTCTGTATGACTGAGCAGATGGAGATCAAGATTGTGAATGAATGCGTTCTCAGCAGATGTGCTTTTACTGCAGTAATGACTTATTTTGTAATGGCACATTGCAGTTAAAACCAATAAATGTATTTGTATTGAATGTGTGAGCGTACTACTGATTGTCCAACCTTTTTGGCTGGTGACCCGACTGGTCTGCTGTATGTCTCAGATTTCGACCTTAAAGCTTGTGCAGACTACACAACTTGTCATCTTGTGACGGGAGTCTTGAAATCTTTGTGGTGTTCACACTACACATCAGAAGAAGAATCTGGGTGAAAAGAATGAATTAGCACACGCAGGTAGCAGGGATCATCTGAGCTACAAAGAGAGCTGGAGGTGAGTAAAAAGTATTTTGCAGTGAAAAACTAGCTGCCTGCTCTGCCTGCTGTCATTGGCTGTATGTGGATGTTGAGTCAGCGGACTCTTACAGATATTTGGCATGCTGATATCTGGATGGCGTCTGTGATGTGTCAGAAATGTGTTGTTGAGTAGTTCACACATAACGACTGGCGACTATTCTCAGACTTTTTCGGTTGCCTGTAACAGCCTGTGGACAGGGGAAATCCAGAGGATGTGATATCTATACGCACTCCTGAGCGCCTTCTCTTCTGTTCCACTACAGTGCCAACAGTGTGCAAAACTAGCTAACATTAGTTACTCTGGCCAAACAGGAAAATGACTGATGATGAATGACAATGATGTCAGAAACTAGGGTGAACATAAGCAGATAGCATTTTCATCCCCAAAACCAAACAAGCCTAAGTGTGTGAATTATATTGTGGCTTTTAGTTGGCCAATGTCTGGTGTATTCCTTCTTAGAAATGAGAAATTAAAAATAGACAAATGTCCAGAATAAAGTGTGGCTGTGCCTGTAATTTGGCTGTTGTCCCATCATCAGTTTACAGTTTAAAAAAAAAGTGTTGTTAGCAAGGTTTTAGACCTTGTCCATTCAAAACTGGGTTTTCTTCATATGGATGTTTACCTTCACTGTGCAGGAAGATACACAGTATATCTCACAAAGTGAATACACCCCTCACGTTTTTGTAGATATTTGATTAAATCTTTTCATGTGACAACACTGAAGACTTTTTTTGAAGACACTTTGCTACAATGTAAAGTGGTGAGCGTACAGCTTGTATAACAGTGTAAATATGCTGTCCCCTCAAAATAATACATCACACATTAATGTCTGGCAACAAAAGTAAGTAAACCCCTAAGTGAAAATGTACAAACTGGCCCTAAGTGTCAATATTTTGTGTGTCCACCATTATTTACCAGTACTGCCTTTACCCTCTTTGGTAAGGAATTCACCAGAGCTTCATAGGTTGCCACTGGAGTCCTCTTCCTCTCCTCCATGACGACATCACGGAGCCGGTGGATGTTAGAGACCTTGCGCTCCCTGTTATACCTGTTCTGTTTGTATTATACGTCTTAACTTGCAGTACCTGCTTTTTATGGTTTTAGTTTTATTTTCTCTTACTATTTATTGTTATGCACCAGGGCGATGGACGAGACTGAAGCCAGGCAACACATATTATTCGCAGGACTAAATAGTGGTCTGACAAACAAAGAGACACATAGCTTGGGAGTGATAATTCCTATCACATTGTTCATTAAGCTAAATGCTCACCACCAGCTGCAGACCCCTACATGACTAGCAGGAAAATCACTTAAGTCAAGTCTCAGGTCAGACTTTGAGTAGAGAGAAGATCATCTCCACGTAAAAAGAAAGTTTTAGAAATAACATGGGTTTCTGTGTAAGCCCTTCTATAACTGAGGTCCCAGAAAACCTACCTGCCAATAAACCTAAATCTGAAAAGGCTTCAAAAGTAAATAAATCAAACACATGCCAGACTGAAGACACAACCAATATTAAAATTACACCCTTACACCCTTGCTTCTGAAGGGAAACTAAGGAGATGGGATGGTTTTGTAGGCAGATGTATACATTTTCAGGAAGTTGCAATTTTTTGGCCAATCGCATCTTGAACATGTATACAGGTACACCAATGCCAATCAGTGAATCTTACCAGCACAATTATGCATCTTAGGTTATGTCCCCCTTTTTTTCGAGATCCAATTTTTTTGTTTTGACCACATATGAAGTGGCCCAAATCCGGACTGGAAAAGATCAGATTCCATGTAACTTGGCCTGTTCACACTGTCATAAAAAGGTCAAATCTGAGTCATATATGAGCAAAAAAAAACAGATTTGGGTCACTGTAGTGGCCTGTAGTGTGAACGTAGCCTTAGAGGATCAATTTGCATTGACACCAAACAAAGCATTAATGCACATCAATAGTGATACAATATACCTCACTTTAACATCCAAACACTGCCTGCAAAAAAGCAGGCCCAAAATCTTTGGAACAGTCGCTGGATCTGTCCTGCACCTCTCACAAGTGGGCTCAATTGTAGGATATGTTCTCGCCAGTTTAGTTTTAGAAAGGTGGGAGCGATGGTCTTTTTTACAGTGGGATGATTGAAGCACTTGTTTTATTGTTGCCTCCCACATATCCTCAGAAGAGGGGCTGGCCAAGCCTAGTTCTTAAATTATCCAATGGTTGCAACGTTCAATTTATAAGTAGCCTATATCTAAGCAAAAGATTCTTTCTGAGAATAAGTAATAGCACTCGAAATGTGTTTTTAGTTTGCCCCACTGACCGTGAACTGGCTGACAATCTCAAGGACCCTTAAATAGTCTGTCTATCTACAGTGGTAGATGGTGGTTCATAGGGAAATGATCTGTAGATAGCAAACAAAGTTAGGGGGGCTTAGCATTTCTTTCTGACAATTTAATAAATGAGTCAAACACTCCTTTGATATATAAATCATGATCTGCCTTTCCTTTGAAAGGAAAGGCAGATCATGTTTAACTGGAGTAAAGAGGTTGGGTGGATAGGATGGAGTATCGTTAAGGATGGAGACAGCAGGCAAAATTCATTCCAAAACTGTGATTATAGTCTGAAGAATTACTGGGTGGTCAACTTTATCTTTATCTTTGATCAGGACATGTCGTTTGAGTCTCACATTTTTTTCACCTACGTAATATTGCCAAAATCAGGAACATACTGTCTAAAAATGATGCAGAAAAACTAGTCCATGCATTGTTACTTCTAGGCTGGATTACTGCAATTCTTTATTATCAGGCTGCTCGAATAAGTCCATTAAGACTCTTCAGCTGAATTCTTCCAGAATGCTGCAGCACGTGTTCTGACAGGAACCAGGAAAAGAGATCACATTTCTCCTGTCTTAGCTTCTCTGCATTGGCTTCCAGTAAAATCCAGAATAGAATTTAAAATCATTCTTCTTACCTACAAAGCTATTAATGGTCAGGCATCATCTTATCTTAAAGAGCTCATAGTACCTTACTACCCCACCAGAGCACTGCGCTCCCAGAATGCAGGGTTACTTGTGGTTCCTAGAGTGTCCAAAAGTAGAATGGGAGCCAGAGCGTTCAGCTATCAAACTCCTCTCCTGTGGAACCAGGTTCCAGTTTGGGTTCAGGAGGCAGACACCATCTCCACATTTAAGAGTAGGCTTAAAACTTTCCTCTTTGATAAAGTTAGGGCTGGCTCAGGTGAGTTCAGAACCATCCCTTAGTTATGCTGCTATAGGCCTAGACTGTCAGGAAACTTCCCATGAGGTCCTCCTCTACTTTCTCTCCCTCTCTACGCAGGGGCCGTTGCACCATCCCTCATCCAGTACAGCAGCATTCGTATATTAACCACCCAATAATAGTACATGAAGTTTGGGAGTGCCATCCCTCCATTTGCACGAGGTCTCTGTAATATATGTCTTTGATCTGTGGCGGCTTTTTGTTCCAGATGAAGGCCGATATCTGATTATTTAGTTTAGATATTGTGAGAAACACTGGGAGACACTGTGGGAAACATAAAAATTTAGGCAGCACATTCATCTTTATAGTATTGATTCTGCCCCCCAGAGAGAGATGCAGGGCGTCCCACCGCTTAATATCTTGCTCAAGATTAGATAGCAGAGGCTGATAAAAAAATAATCTTTATGACTGTGTGTAACCCACACCCCAAGATACTTGAATTTTTTTGGATTCATTTTAAAAGGAAAAGAGTCAAGGGGTACCTGGTCTGCCCCCTCACCAACAGGCATCAGCTCACTTTTCTATATATTGACTTTGTAGCCCGATATTTTGCCAAAATCTTCGAGTAGAGCCATTAACGCAGGTAGGCTCAAAAGGGGCTGCAAAATGAATAACAGCATATCATCCGCATAAAGTGAAACTTTACGCTCTATCCCTGCACGCCAGATCCCCCTGATATCAGCATTCTGTCTTAGTGCCAAAGCAAGTGGTTCCATTGCAATGGCAAACAGCAGCGGCGACAAAGGACATCCCTGCCTCATACCACGTTGGAGCTCAAAGTAGGTGAAAAGATTATTATTAGTACGAGAGTTTAACCCATGATATGAATCTGGTACCAAATCCAAACCTCTCCAGCCCCACTCCACCCGGTCAAATGCCTTTTCCGCATCAAGTGAGAGCACCACTTCCGGGGTACCAGGTGGAGAAGAGCTATAGAGGACATTTAAAACATGTAGGGTAGGGTCTTAAAGAAATCTTCCAATATAGAGGGGTCTACAGATGAGCCGGCACTTTATAGTGACATAAAAAGCCTGAAAACAGGAATTAATTTCAAAACTATCAGTACATTTCATTCCCTGCTCATCATTGATTTCAGGAATAGTCTGATTAGTGTTCCTCCGTCTCAACTGGTGAGCAAGAATCCTTTTCCCCGTGTTCATAAGACCCATATCGTGATTTGGAGATAAGATACTCAGCCTGTTTCGTTGATAAGAGATCAAACTCCGTCTGTAATGACATACGCCTTCTCCTAGAGTCTGCCGAAGGTTGATGGCTCTGTAACCTATCTAGGTCGAGAATCTCCCATAAGTTGGGCAGTGGTTACTTTCTTCTGATTAGCACAATATGAGATGACCTGACCTCATAAATATGCCTTCAATGACTCCGAAATTGTCAGAGAAGACATTCCAGGGTTTTGATTAATATCTAAAAACAGTGAAATTTCAGATGCAATAAAACTAGTAAAAGCGTCGTCTGACAGC